TGTACTGCACTGAGTTAAATCGGCAGCATCATTAAAAAAGCTCAAAAAGCCGCGTATAATTAGTTAAAATGCCTAGCGTTATTTTGAATATCCAGTTGTCACGGAACAGTCGACAGGCCAACAGTTGATCGGCCAGAAGCGATTTAGCTACAAAGCAAGTAAGGGAGACATAAGTACAACGTCAGTTAGTTTCAAACTCTTGGCTATCATCGCACGGAAACATGGCCAACAATCTGAGAAAAGAGCTTTTTCAAAGCACAGCCTACAAGGGGAAAAAGTCCAAGAAAGTTTGCCTCGAATTACCCCAGTCGCAAGGCAGGTACGAGTGGCTGAAAGAAGTCCAGGTTAGTGAGCCTACACATTTACAGGAACTGAGAAGAAATAGTCGAGAGCTCCTGGAAAAGGTGAAAGCACGGCGAAGAGCCTTGTCAGATTCAGCTGACAGACCAAGTGAATCCACCAAACCCGCAGTGCTTAAAAGCTTTTCACCACCGCTTCCAAACAACATGCACCTACAACAGGAAGAGAAAAGTCTTGGAAAAGATGCCTTCCACAAGAAAACGGTTGAGTCACAACCATCGGGGTACGAATGGTGGAAAGAAGTCGAGGTTGAGTTGCCCACATATTTCTTGAAAAGAAGAAAGGAAAGGATGTTAGCGGAAAAAGTCGGATGGTCTCGTGGAAATGGGCAGAATAAAGAATAAGAAAGTTTGTGAAAAGAGAACATTTAAACTGAAAAGTAACGTATCATGTTAAGAAGAGAAAATGATAATTCTTTTATTAAAAATCTCCATTTTTGATTAGTCCATCTGGTCGGTCACTGTAGTAATTTCATTTTGTGTGACGTGCTCTATTTAAGCTCCCAAAAAATTAGTTTTCTATCGCAAACGAGCGTCAAGATATCCCGTAAGGCTTTTTATCAAGTTGTCAATAATGACGAGAATTCTTCCTACGGTACTGTACAATACTCATTTTGCCAACAAAAAAAAGAGCTTAGAATTATTTTGGCAAGATATGGAGACATCTCTTTTGAGTTGTTTTTGCAGATTTTTGAAATTAGAATGAAGAATCAAGATTTCTTTAAAACAACGTCTGTATATTATTTCGTCTGATTTTAACTATCATTCAGTATTAAAGATTACTCCACTCTTCCAAGAGCAAATTGAAGTGTTCATCACATTTGTGTGGTCAGACGAAAGAACTGAGTTGTTTTCTTTTGGTCGTTTTCTTTCCAAATGGAATGATGCATATTTTCCTTCCTGGGGTCCTTTTCAGTCTCGGAAGTCTCTATAACATCCCACGTTCGGTATTCCGAGGCTTTCTGGTCATTCTTCTATATTTGGTTTGGTTCAGTTTCTTTGTGCTCAAGTCTCCCCCAGGAATTGCGAGACAATGGAACAGTAAAAAAATTGCCATTTTGCCCCAAAAGCCTTGGAGTCAAATTCGAGTTTCAACATATCGAACGTGGGCTATTAACATGAGGGGCCCATAAAGCTTTTGTTGTTTACATCCAAGATAGAGGTTTCAATAGTTTTGCAGACAACATGGTTAAACTATCAGTTACGAAACAGAATGGGCTATATATTTCGATTTGAATTTTTGATTTCGGGCCCGAAAAGTTACCTGGACTTTTAAGTTGGTAAGCAGAAACGTCAGCAAAGGCAGACCTTTCCACCGCTGATACCTCGTTTTGGAAATTCTTACCAATCCTGACAACGTTGAATACGAAAAACCAAGTAATATATTGGCGAAAAATCGACTGCCAATTTCGCTGTTTACTTACTAGTCTTTGCAGATTAAACTTGTCCCTTTTCTAAAAGGTTAGCCAGCCACAAATCCATGCGAAACAAAACTGGGTATAAAAAGGAAAGGCAAAGGGGAAAAAGAGGGCCAGAATTGTAAGAAAGATGTAAATAGATTTGCCAAAGAAGTCCATATTTTGGCTTGTGCGCATGCGCGAAAAACAAAGAAAAAGCAGTATTTAGGGCAGTAATACTAGTGGGGCTGAGAAAATGACTGAAACAAATAATTTAAATCAAGCATAACAGGGTTTTGATAAGTCGGAAAATATGCCCTGAATGTTGCAAAACTCATTTTTAGCCATTCCCAGGCCAACTGGCCGAAAACCAGTCCAAAACAGTTCTGGTGAAAAACGGGGTTTTTTTTGCTTCTAGCTGGCGGTCTAATTAGCCTTTTTCCATAGAAAACCGTAAAATTTACGACGAAATGCAGCACGAAACGGGTTTAAAAAGAGAAAAAGAAGCTACTCCCATATTTAATGTTAACACAGACAATAGAAAGTCTTTCTATTATCCATGATGTAGAGAGTTGTAGTCACAAGTATTAGAAGAAGCAGTCCCAGAATCAGGACATTTTGGCGCTAATAAACATGGCGCCAAATGGCTACATGTATTTCTACTCTCTGCAATTTTTAACATCTGTTTAACAATCAAGAAGCCCTGACTGTGCTCTGTTCCGTTGTAAAGCACGCGGGAAACATAGGGGGAAACAAGAGACGTAGTCGAGTGTTTCTCCCTACTTCTTGAGTACTCTAGCCGCTTCCTGCGTGCTTTACAACAGAACAAGAGCAAAGCCAAGGCTTCTTTACTTGTTTTATATTAAATACTCCTTTAAATTCCCCACGCATTACTTTCTAATTTTCAAACCAAACTATTGGCAGATGGCGTGACAACTTTAGCTCCGTGTTTTATACTCTCATAAAGCACGCTTTTCCAACCAATCAGAGTGCACATTATATCCGAACCTTATTATAACATAAAATCAAAGATGGCTGCCAAGGAAATACGATCGTAATCGAGCAACTTCAATCCGCCCGCCCTAAAAATACGCCTGCATTGGTTAGGTGGAAAATGAGACGCACAGAGTACAGAGTACGGAGTGTCGAAAAGAGTGGAATGTAGAAAATGAGGAGTGTGAATAATGAGGACCCTAGAACATGCGGAAAATCGTGTCCAGTCATTTGGCAATCTAACATAAATCAAGCACCTGAGCTTCAAGTGAATAAACGAAAAACGTCGATCCAAAGACAAATCAATTTTTGTTTCGCCCACCGTCAACTCGTTCTACCCACTCACCCTTAAAAACGAACATGCTGAGTATAAGCAGAAAACCGTACAACCGGAATGAAGGAATCCTTTATTTTCAGTTTTTACACACATATATTACACCGGCACAAGATATTAGACATTAACACTAAATAAAAGATAACCAAAGTTTTGGGCTGTTACTCGTAACCTCTGTAAATAAAGTCGGGAAAAGACAGAAGTCAGTTATGCAGTCAACAGAGTCGACAGACCGATTGATTGCGGTCAACGACAGAAAGAGGCATAATTCGCCACTTTAGAAACGAGAGGGGGAACTGGCGCCGAAATGCATCCCGCAATTGTTTCTGGGATCGCTAATGGGAACGTGCCGGCCAGCTGTTGGCTAATTTTTCCCGCCTTCCCTAGTAACAGTCCCAGAAGTCTTTGCGAAAGTTAACTCGACCCAGTTTCCTTGTCGTTTATGCCAACTAGTACTTTAAAGCTGTGATTAACATCCTTACTGTTTATAGTATGATATAAGCAACAACGACGACCATGGCAACGATAACCTCAGCTCTGCACATGCATCACGCTTCAGCTAGTACCTTTCCTTGACATCCACTGTACGACTAGAACGTGGAACTTCCTTATGCGACGTTTTATGGAGGACGTGAACACACGAGGATGAATTCTCCCTTCATTTTTTTTAACCTGGATAAAGTTCTCAGGAATTCAACTCCAGGAAAAATCACCCACATTTGACAAACAGGGCGGTCTAAAGTTTGATAGAGCGAAATTCAGTTTTTTTGTTTTCACTGCCGTTTTCACTGCCCTCGTCACCGTGGTTGTTTAAGCTCCCTACTTTATAAGTACCCCCGACACCGTTTATTTATTTAACCTTCACGAAGTTTACTAAAAAGGACGTTCTAAGCGTTTGATAAAGGAAAACGGTCAACGCCACTTGGTAGGACCGCGATGCATTTTTAACCGTTGAAAAAAAAATAGTTTCAGTATTTGATTTGTCTGGTGATCAAGTCCAACCGTTGGTAGGTTTAAAGGTAAGCCTTTAAGAAAAGCGGACAAACTTTGAGGATAATTCAGCCAAGTCGAATACCTTCTGAGAGAAGGGCCTGTTTAGTTGAAAACTTTATTAAAGGGTCTGTTTAACGGCTGTCTAGGTTCATTTTGCTTAAATTGCCATTTACACCCTCTTATTTGCAACGGAACTTAACGTTAGTCACGAAATTATTGGTAAATTACAAAATCACAGCTTCATGTCAAAGAAATATGTCTCCCAAGCACTGTAATTATCAAACATTACAAAAAGAATAACTTCGAAAAACTTTTAGACTAACAAGCTTTCAGAAACAGCAGGTGCAGTTTGTCCATCCGTGACTTCTTTCGTATTTTGTATTTTTTTTAGCGGTTATTTTTTTTGTTTCACACAATTTGGTGGCAGTACTCACTGTTTGAATTTCCATGAATTTCGTGACACAGCTCCTTTAAGTTCACTAAACTTCATCAATCCTGATAAACTTTATCGATATATATTGTAGTTTGAAGGATTTCAACAAGATTCATAATTTAACAATGCACGCAGGGCTTAATGGCCCGGCCAAAGGAATCTCAGTTCGGTCAAGTCTCTTTCTTGACCAGTCATGTCCAAAATATTAAAAACAATACTAAAATGATTTAAACCAGGAGCTTTAAAAGTAATATCTTAACAAGCAAAAATATAATTCCTCCAGCAGAAAAGGCGTACATGGAAAGTAGAACTTCGAATAAATACATTCAAATCCACTGAGAGCGAACGTTTCCGGTCAAAAATCGTTTGTCCAGAAAAATGATCATCTTAACCAGACGTTGTCCGTTGACCGACCCTCCCCCTCCCCTTGCTCCCCCACCTCCCCCACCTATGCCATGAGAAGAACTGGAAAAAGAAGAGGTTTGAACATACTTAACCAATGGGGCGATGTCCCAGTTTGTGTCCGCACTTGTAGCAGGTTCAATAACTGCACCATCCTTAGTGATAACAGCAACTTCATACTGAAATATTAAACATAAGCAAACTTTAAATTTAAATTGAGCGGGTATCTGTCATTGTGTAGTTCCAGATATTCACACCACTCTCCTTCCCCCTTGCGGGGAACTTTGCTTTCTTTTATTCTTAAAAAACTTGAATCAAAAGGACTGGTATTGAAAGACGAATTTGTATCGAAACTACCAGTAACCAATCTGATTGGCTATTACAGTGCCTCAAAGATCAATTTCTAGCACAGGCGGCTTTTATAAAAAAAAAATTTTATAAAATGGTCGCCAGACATAAAACATTGGTCGCAAGGAGAAAAGACACTTTGTGCAACATTCTTAGAATGGCCGCTGCCCAACTATCGCGGTTTTAGGTCGTTTTGTTCAAGTCGTTTCGATAAAACTGTCGAGGTGTAAATAGTTTGACGTGCTTTGCTTAAAGATATCCATTTTAAACCAAAAATCAACGATATATAGAAACATCGACGTTTCGATGGCTCCACGTCATCATCATTAAAAGATAAGAAATTAACATGATTCGAGGAAATATATAATTTTTTTTATAGAAAAAGAACGTGCGAAAAGTGCATGTATGTAGGATACATGAACGCGTGCCGTCACGTTCATCAACGTCTAGAGGAACATTTAAACATTCGGTAGTTGGCAAGCATTCATCGAGAAACACGATGTTTAGCAGGTGAACCTTGGTGAAAACTTTAAAATCCTCAAGAAATGACGAGGAAAACTAGAGTGTCTGATTTTCGATATGTTACTCATCCGAGGTAAAAGACCCACGCTAAACACTCAAGCGGACTCCATTCGTGCGAAACTATTTATTTAATTGTTATTTGCTTTGTCAATTTTCATGTCAAATTTCTTCCCTTTTATTTCCGGTCTCCCGCACCACTCCCGCCCCATATTAGGGCTCCTGGTCTCTGTACCTCAAAATCAGTTCATTTATAGTCTAGTTATTTGCCTGCCAATGGAAAAAAACGCTGATTATCCGGCAGGTATAAGAATTCAGCTACTTAGATGGGAAAAAAAACACAAGAGACTGGATACTCTGTGGTTCAGTGGTGGAGAATTTTGAAGCAAAAAGTGACAATACATGTACATCTTAATCAGGATCTTGTTAGGAGTACAGGTACACATTAGGCACTGTTGGTACATGTATCTTCCGAAGGAATAAGCCCTAATGACATGACAGGTGCAAACGAATGATAACCGTACACACCTTGTTTAGAGATCTCGCATCTCTGTAAAACAAAACTCGTAGACAGTTGACCATCACTTGCCGTGCCTGATCAAGAGACATGCCAGGGTTCTTCTCAAAGGCATCACGAAGAATTGGCTGCGTATAACAAGACAAGTTAGATTGAAAATCTCCGTAATTATATAGTACAAGTAAACTTCAACAAGAATTTTTAGGATGATAATAATACCTTGGCTGGCCGTCCCTCAGTTTTGAATCTATAACCAATAAATTCCACAACTCTCCCTTAACTACTGGGAAGTACTTTGTATGGGCAAAAACTAAAACCACACTTCTGGCACTAACTAGGTGTATAATTATCATAACAAACATGAACATGTAGTTGCTTAGAGTTCTAATGGATTGATTTGTTAGACTCATACCCTACATCTTCCTTGACAGACAAGTGGAACAGAAATTATTTGTGATACAAGTTACTCAGCGGAAAGCAAGTCCAAATGCATGTAACCTTGAGTCTAAGGAAGAATTACACATACCATGATGTGACTTCTTCTGCATGATAAATTTGGGACTTCTTATTACGCTTGAAACAATATAAATTTTACTCACTACACTGAGAAGAAATTTCTGAGCTTTCAACTCTGCTAAAGCCTTGTTCACGGTGGATTTAATATGTCATGTGACTTGTGACCTGATCAGCCTTGTTCAGATCAGTGAAGGTCGAATTTACCCCCATCTCTATTTAGAGATGGACTGCTGACTCTGTTGTAAATCTATATTCCATTTAATTATTTCTTACAGAAATTTGTCACTGTCACAGGGGATGAAACAGGACTTGGGTACAAAATGTATGAACCGCATGTATTATAACCCACCAAGCCCATGAAAGGTTGTCCGCACCACAGGAGTCTATGTTCCCCACTCTTTACAAACAGCAGTAAGGGGTCTTTATAACATCACACAAGAATCAGAACAGTGAAAGAGCTGTGAGAAAATGCCTCTAATTTTTTGTCCTCATCTGAGAGACTAGGATGTCTAACAATTATTTTGTAGATGTCAGAACAAAGACAGCCCATTCTCCTCGGTTGTTTAAAGACCCTAAGTGTTGGTCTGGCTGGGGTTTCACTGGTGCTATATTCAATTAAGCCTCCCTTACAACACTAGTGACCCAATCTGGACTTAAGACTTCTTCCCTAGTTTGACTTTGGGTAGCCTAAGATCAAGGAAAGGGCTACAAACAAACTACCCTCACCTGTGCCAGATATGCTCCAAATCCTGTGGATATTGTTGGTGCTTCAAAAGCAACACCAATCTTGTCAACATAACCTAGAAAACTTAAGAGCATACGACAAGAAATAAAAAAGTCAAAGGCTTATCAAATTAACAAGTTTATGATGCACACTGTAAATAAAGGTCATTATTCAGCACAGTAGTAAATTAAAATACCTTATAAACTAATCTTACCTTTCACCATTGTGGACACCACCCACAACAATCTGATTCCACAAAGGATCAAAGCGGGTACGCCTATGCAGAATAAACATATTAATTTTAAAAAACAATCTAATGAAAAACTGATAATATCTTAATTTGTCAAATATAGAGCTGTATTAGTTTGATAAAAATCACTGGTTTGTACATGCACATGTATGTGGCATAATCAAATTTTACAGTAATAATTATCAGTCCTTCTGAGTTTGTACAGTAGTGTCATTATGTTTGAACATATGAACACTTATCTTTTTACATTGCTTCAGTATGGTGAGAATCTCTTTTATATTATATTGAATTCAGAGGCCTCTTGTGTCAACAACACTAAAATAGCCACATACACTGTAGGTAAACAAATGGCTGTGCTCTTGAGTTTTTTGCTTTCTAAACACTCCTTGTATTGGAATATACATTAATTTCAATGTCTATAAGCTCTTGAGGTATGACTGCTCCCTTTTATATAAAAACACAATAACAAAATTTTCTGTTAGTTTGAGGCACGATGGTGCCCCTTAGAGGTGGACAAACATAATATCAGCAAGACTCTAAAAAATCTTGGTACAACAAACACTCAAGTGTAAGTCTTGCAAGACATCTGCTAGGTTTTGTGTAGTGGTTATGATGGAGTAGTAAGTAAAAACAAGTAATAAGAAAGTTTCCTTTACCTGTAGTACATGACTCTTGTCAACCAAGAATATATTGATTTTGGTGTATAACCATGTCCATCATTCAAACAAGCATCATCAATACTGCAAGGGAGTCAAAATTCACGTAACAATTTGGTTACCTCTCAAAAAGTAGGCATGGGTTAAGACAATAATGATTTTGCAAGGAGCCCTTCAATTCATGTAATGTAATAGATGTGATGATGATGTAATAGAAAAACATTTCCTTGTCATACCTATGATACAATAACAATCATACTACATGTACCAAGAGAGAATGAGCTAAAGAGAGCGAATTCCTGAGCCCTGTCATTTTTACAGCTTAATAATAATAATAGTCTTTATTGAGGATATCAATTTCACTGATCAGTGATTTACAAAAGAGTCCTCAAAAATTAAAAATGAACAAAAAGGAAAAATAAAGACTAATATATGAATATATAAAAATTAAACTAAAAACGATCTACATTTCTCAACACTCTCTTAAAACTAGCTAATGATGGGCTTTGTCTGATTGAAAGGTCCAATTTATTCCAATTGTTTGAGGCAAAGTTTGTCGAGGTCCAATGGCCCATTCCTATTAGATGCACTCTTACGAATATCGTTTTTACATCTAGTATTATAATCATGTTTATCCTTATTGAATTCAATATTAAGACGATGTGAAAATAAGTTATTCAAACATTTATAAATAAAAGTTGCCCTATGCTCGGCCCTACGTCTTGCGAGAGTTTTCCAATTCAGTTTATTCATGGCCCCACTAGCAGATGATCCAATAGGCAAATCTAAAATTATTTTTGCAGCTTTATTGTGTAAAGATTGAAGTTGCAACATTAGAGTGGAGTTGCTCCTATCCCCCCATATGATATCAGTATAGTTAAACAATGGCAGAACATAGCTGTTAAAAAACAGCAATCTAGCATCTAAAGGTAGGCAATAACGAATACGTTTAAGTAGACCCAGCTTCTTATTTATCTTAGAAAACATTTGATCAACATGATCTTGCCAAGTTAAACGATTACTGACTGATAACAATACCTTAGTACTTAAACGAAATTACTTCATCAAGATCCTTTCGGGCAAGCTGAAGTTAGCATTTACTAGCCCAGACGTCATTTCAACTAGCCCCAAAAGCTTTTTGACCAGCAGAATTAATTTCACAGTTCTCCTGTTATTCGAATTCCTCAAAAAACTTCACTTGCCCATCGGGCAAGTTAAAAACAGAATTCACTAGCCCGACAGCAAAATCCACTAGCCCCGGGCTATCGGACACTACTTTCTTTGCATGCTACCTGTGATAACTATTTGAAATCTATTGAAAGTTCGCATATGCATAGTGAAGGCTATTTTTGTCTGCTGGTTTCATGACCTGCATGGTCTTTGTTTACATGAGTGTGACATATTTTGCTGTCAAACATTTGAAGTTTGACATCCATTATAGAAATTGGCATGCCAAAGGTTTAAGTTGTTGCAATGTTTCTTTAATAGCTGGCACGTTCCACCCATTGGTTGGGAAAACATTTCATTTAGAATGGATTGCAGTATTGGAGTCAAAATTTCACTTTCAGATTTAAGATTGAGATTTTCTAACAGCTGGTGGCCTCATTTACAGTAACGAATATTGAATGTACACCATGAAAACTAAAGGCAAAAGTTATCATGTGTGAAATACAAAACCTTAATAAGTGGCTGGCTTCAGTTGTTTATGCAAATGTACAAGACATTTTTTCCTCTGTTTCCCGGAACACTTCTCATTCAGAAACAGCAAACTTGCTTTTAAGAATAATTATTGAGAGTTTCAAACTGCATTACTTCTTCTAGATACATCTAATACTTGTGATGAATATTTTGCTGTGCAAACACAAATCAGTTCAGATGCCTCAAGCTGTTAAACAGTTGGTAACCTCGATGCCAAAGACTTTTCATGCGTAGTTTCCTGTTTCAGTCAATATCTCTTTATAGTGAGCAGTGCACCTACATTGTTCTTGAACATTTGTCTAACGCCCTCTCAAAATTAAAATGTTTGGCAGCCAAATATGTCATGTTTGAACACACTTAGTAGTTTAAACCTGTTTTCTTGTTACATGTCCATGTTTAGATCCAAACAACGGTATTGATACATCTCACAGGTTTGCATAGACATTGCCAGAAGGGACCGCTGCCATTTACAATAGTATGACTTACTCGAGGTTGTTGGTTGTTTACATGCATATATACTGATGTAGCAAAGGCTACAATGGGCAGTTTTTGTCAAGTCAAAACCGCTTTCTCCAGCAACTCTTGCAAGCCACGGTTGTTTTCCTTGTTGGCGGCTACTCTGGCAAAATTTTTCAATGAAGAAATCTTTTGACTCGTCCGTGAAAGTAATACCAAGTTTGCATGTCATACTGGTTGCTGTGCATGATTGGCAGTAAAATGAATTACCTGCCAAGTTCAAAATTATATGACACCACTCTAACCAACCAATAAGGTGACCTCCTTAAAATAACAAAGCAGTATGACACAGATCAAAGAATGGATTTAAAATAATTTTCATGGGAAGAGGGTCATGTATCGGGGACTCAATCTCTTAGCTCATTCTCTCTTGCATGTATCTGATACAGAATAGCCTGTGTAGCAGGCGCTTTGGAAGTAGTGGGTGCCAGAAAGAATTGGGCACATGAGGGAAACACATGAGGGGAGAAGTAGCGCCTGCCCATGAGGCTCACGAAAATTGTCTTAACTTGCTTTCTGGGAGTGCAGATATTTCCGATTGGTCAAGAGGCTCCCAAGGAAAAAACAGGTTGCGCTGGGTGAAAAGACTGTTAATCAAAGAAATCATGAGATTGATTGTTTGGACACATGTGGTACATGGACAGACAAGACAGTGAAGATTTTTTATTAGACCACTAAATGGTATAATTTATCGAAGTTCAGATCTTGGAGGTCACTTCAATGGGACTTAAATGTGGCTGTATTCTAAAAGAAAAGTTGGAGGGGAAGTAAAATGAACAAACGGTTTTCACAAAGGAACAGTTTGACATCAAATAATACGTATTAGGCTATGGCAGACAAAAAATTTGTCACATCTCAAAGGAAAGATTTTTTGTTCAAAAAGAACTTGACGATTTTGCATTGTCGATGGAACACACATCATCAAGACCTGGACAGGATTGATGAAATGAAACACTTACAACTGAGGGGCTTGAATTTGAAAAACCCTCGCTATTGTTGTTGTTTGCTAGAAGGCGACCTGATGTCTGATTTTGATTTCTCATTATTGCAGCCAACAAAAACGTCTCAGTACAGTTTGTGTTCTGAAGTTTAGGTCCATTTAGTAAGAAGTGTCTGCTCCCATGGTCATTTCCCAGGTATGCTGTGATCTTAAGTGTCTGTACAGTTGTGACTTTGTAATCTCAGAGAACAATGTTTAGCTTTTCATCATACACAGCATGCATTTTTTAAACAATATCAATTTTTGACTCTGTTTTTTCGTATTTATTGAGCCTTCGGTTAAAAATGGTTTAAGGCTGTGGTTATCATCAGTTTATTAATCCATCACTCTCAGGGGCGTAGCGTGGGATTTTGAAGATGTACGCACGAGAATAAATTTTTCTTAAGCGGCAAAGGCGCTTACATCTAGAGGGGTCTGGGGGCATGCTCCCCCAGAAAATTTTGAAATTTAGGGTCTCGGAAATGCCGTCTCCTGGTTTTTCTGGGGGGCATTTTCAATAAAAAATGCGGCAAAAATGCAGTAGAAAGTTGTACAAAAACAATGAAGACAGGTCAGAAGCAAAGGGCGAGGCGTCGACCCTTAAGACGGGTAAACTCCGTTACCAACCTGTCAATCCACGTTCTTATGTTTATGTATAATTTATGAGGGATTGCTAGGGAGCTTAATCTTTCGTCCGTCATCGTACTTCGCAGAGGAGATTTTAGTCTCTTCATGCTACTGAAGCTACGTTCGGCAGTGCATGTAGACGTCGTTTAGTTGTCTTGTTAATTGCGTTGAAGTAATCGTGCATCGATTTTCGAGCCATATGTGTGTACTTTGTCTCACAAAGCACACAAAAACACTACAGAAGCCAGTGATCATGCTCCTCAAGTCGCAGAAATATTCATAGGATTCTCTAACAGTTTCTTCGGAAAATCAATCACTGGGGCTTCACTGTTTGACCTCACAAGTATATTCCTAACATCCGTTGACGGCAAATACATTTTGTTCTGAAGCCACACGTCATGGCATAGTAACCTCTCCTTCAAGAATACCTGCGGGGCTGGGAAAACTGGTGAGGCTGGCTGACTTTGAGGGAGGGGTACATGAGGTGTTTTTCCTATTTTTGCTTACCACCCAAATGCATTTTGCCATTATTAGTGGCCAGCACTGAATGATTGATGCTTGGATAATGGGAATTCTAATAAAAAGCCAGTCTAATGTGAAAATATGAAATTATTAGCCAGCAAATTTAATGCGAAAAAAATTTTTCTCAGATCTCAGCTGTACGCACGGGCGTACGTGCGTATATGGACGCTACGCCCCTGACTCTAAAATCAGATAACCTTGCTGATGTTTACATCAGATAGACCAAGGATATAAATGTACAACACTTTTGCATGCTTTGCTTGTGCAACGTCACTTGTTTTCTGTCAAATATTTTTGACAGATCATGCAGTGGCTGCCAAGTAATTGGACTGGGGGCGGCAAATGATTTTTGTGGGCCTCTCGGGCAGGTGCTCCCTAGTCCCCCTCGTGTGTCTCTCTCGTGTGCCCTGTTCTTTCTTGCACCCATCACTTCCAAGTGCCTGCCATGCAGGCTAAATACAAAAATAATTATAATAGGAAAAAAAAAGAAACACACGAAAATTAAAATCCGGCTTTAGAAGAACTGATTATGGAAAACCAACAAATATAGACCACTCAGGACAATATTTGCATTTGATCGTAATTATACCAAATAATTGCAGTAGTGAGGAGGACATTATTTTGAATTTTAGTAGTTGACAAAAGGTATTCATGGTATATGTACCAATGGCAATCACTTGTAAACTCTCATTTTAAGCAGATAAAAATTACATGTATTGTAGAAAAATTTAGAGTACTGTTATACATAATGTTTACATACAGGTTTACGTCTATGTACATGCAGTTCATCTTGAAGGTGAGAAGAAACTACATAGGTGGTACAAAAAGAAACTCAACCTGCCATAGCAGACTTACACTTTTTGTTCCAGTTCTGATTTGAGGTACTGAAAATCAGCATAATCCCCTGAACCACCTATTACTGTGTTATCACCAACAGCCATGAGCCTTGAAACCTCGCGAAATCTTGCAAGTGATCCATATGAACCTAAAAATTGAGAAGTGAAGAAGGAGTTGTACAACACTACACTAAACTTACAAGTAAAGCCAAAATGAACTTATTGAATTTACTTGAATTTCTAAGCTTTTGCATGACATGGCAATTACATGATGGCCGAGAAGGGAATTTTGCTATCTGAACAGCTCATGAATATTAGAAAAAGTATAACTTTAATGTTATCAGTTCCTGGAGACATAAATTCACACTTTAATGTAGCAAAACTCAGTGACAGATGTTTCTGTTGCTTTCTGCCACCATGTTGGTGCCCATTTGAATGGGCACAAGCATGCCTCTCCAAACAAAGCTCTATAAATTTGGGTAAAACATTTCTCCAGATATCTTGCATATGAAAATTAATATTGCTCTGACCTGACCAGGGTCTATGCATATTTACCTCCTTTCATTTCCCTCATTCTGGCATTTATCTATTGAACAGTTTTGATTTCTATTTTGATCTGTTTTGAATGGTGTGACACTGAAAACCAGCACTATAAGTTGCTAGGGATGCATGACTAGAGCACAGTGCTGTGAAGGTCAGTAAAATACCAGCAAGAAGCTTGCATAAAGGTCATTATATTCTGTGTTTTTACAGATACTGGCACAAGTCTATAAATGAGGCAAATGATTGCAGAATACTTGCCCCACTAAATATCTAAATCAAACAACTGCTCCTGCAGTCCCGCAGTAGTCTTATTAACTTTGTACAATAAATTCTGACATTGACGGCAGGACTGTGGAGCACTAGTGTACCTTATACTATATAAAGCACACTAGTTACTTGACATCAACTATAGGAGTACAGGACTGAGGGAGTGCATGACTGTGGGAGCACTCATTTTTGAACACCACTGTGGGACTGTGGGTATTCTTCTCCAGGAATTCTACAAGTATAAAATTTTATATACTGAATGTGTGATTCCAGAAATTGTCCTACCCCCCACCCCCCCATGATGGTCAATGGAAATTCCTAGGGGGTGGGGGGGCTAAAGGGTAGAAGTTTTCGAAGGGTATCGGGAGTGACCACAAGAAGAATTCTCCAGAGGGTTGTAAAAGACGCGATTGATCGTATAAGCCATACATGGATTATTTTGATTTGTAGCGTAACAACGACTAGAAATAAATGCCCTTTCAAGAAAAAACTTAAAAGATATTTGTCTCAAATGTCTTCTTCTTTGCTGGGAGTTCCCTGTGTATCTCTCCGAAGACAAAAAGTCACTTCACTTTGGCACGCACTGTGTATGCAGCAGAAAAATCAAGATGGCTGACCATAGCAATTAATACTCAGACTCCAAGGTTCTTGTGCCTTCTAAAAGAAAACATGATTCTACAACAGAAGTTCATTCATTCATTCTTCATTTCCCATAAAGTTGATCTATAAACTAAAACTTTAAATGCGCAAAATTATAGAGAAAGCAAGGACTTTAAAAATTTACAAAAGATTAAGTTTATTTTATTGTTTTCCTGTTGTTGCTGAAAAGGAAGAAATGTCAGGGGTGAGAATTGGTGAACTTGAAAAATTTTACAAAAACAGAAAATGACAGAAATCTAAGCAAGAACGCTAAGACACTGACAGTAAAGAAAGAAAGGATCTTGAAGCATGCAGAAAAAAAAAGGTTAAAGAATGTCCACGTACGGAAAGAAGACCACTTGTGAAACAAAGAGAGCAAACAGAGCCAATGGAAGGAAAACAAATTTTTGCAGTCGGTCAAACAGTGGAGGTTTTGTGGAACGAGAAAGACTTAAAAGGTACAAATTGCACAAGTTGTACATAAGGTAAACGTAATTACAAACACTGTCTTTGTGGTGACTTTAAGATCCGAGGACGAACATTTAATGACAAATGTGGTTTGTAAGTTAGTTTTTTAGTAGATCCAGTTTGAAATTCAAATATCTTCACATATTTTAATGTTAAATCAATAGTTAACTTTGAAGTTATGCTGTAAAATGTACTGGAGATGAAACTGACTTAGACTAGATGTGTACATGGTGAAACTTAATTACAGTATCAGAAATCAACTTTACCGATAAACTTTGCGTCTATTTTAGTTTTTAGTAGATTTGTTTTGAATTTGAAAATGTTCACATAGTCTTATTTAATGAATAGTTCAAATTTAAAGTTATGCTGTAAATGTTTTCTTGAGATGACATAAGTATAGGTAATCACATGATTTCGAGTGCAATTTGGAATAAAAAAGCACGAGTAAATTTTTCAAAGACTAACAAAAGTGCACTCGCCCTACGGGCTCGTGCACTTTGTGGTCTTTGAAAAATTTACAAGTGCTTATTTAATCCAAATTGCACGAGAAAAATCATGTGATTACTTATTAATAATATAAACGAAAAACATAACTACGACAACAAATTTTGACAGCGCGCGCGTTTTTAGTTCATTCAACTGATTGGCTGAAACAGACTACTACCTTTGTCAAATTCAAACTTTTTCAAGACCAACACTTTCAAAATCATTCAGCTAAGAACTTGGAAATGTGCAAGGATTTTTTTATATGATCACCAGCCTGTTAAAGATAACTTGGTTTACAACAATCAGCAAAAGTACCGTAAAAACTCGTATATAAGCCGCACTCGTGTATAAGCCGCACCCCCAACTTTCAAGCATGATTTTGAAAAAAAAACAAAACAAAAATGCGCTTTTGTAAAAAAGGTGATCGTTTGTTCGCGCATCAAAATGTTCACAAATAAACTTGAGGAAATTTAATGTTGTGTATTTGCAGTGACATTTTAAATAAGTTAATCAACTCTGAAAATACCTTTTAAAAGGTTCTCTTTAATCAATTTCCCCATTTCCTGCGAAAGACAACAGTTCTCTTCATTGCTAAAGCCCACAGTTGAAATGAAAATGGAACGATGGAACGAAATTAAAGTGCTGGAGAATGCTACAAAACGATTGCTTAGTAACCACGCGTTTATTTGACGAGGGAAGTCTGGACACCAGAGAAGGACACAAGTAAACAAATGCTGGACTTGTGAAGACTGTATTTTACAAAACTGAATAATATATTTACAAGTAACAGGTACAGATATCTTGATATTAGAAAACGAAATTCCTTGTTTAAGCAAAAAACTATTTACATTGTACAATGTTTGAAAGTACGGCTCATCAATCTTTGTTCAAAGCGAAATCTTGTACAACACGGTTCGGTATCATTTTCACGAGAAAAGCAAAAACTATTTACATGAGCATTAATATACTGTTAAAGTTCATTCTATCGACCAGTGTTCAATGTTCAACAACTGAAGGTTTTCAGTTCAATTTGTGACCCCTACAAGCCAGTTTACTCCCTTTGAGAGCAATGGTCTCGTGTATAAGTCGCACCCGCGATTTTTGACTCAAAATTTCGGCAAAAAGGTGCGGCCTATACACGAGTTTTTACGGTAAGTGTTTTTAAATTCATCCTCGATTATGAGAGCTCGGCGTTTACAAGAAGCCTTTTCAAGAAGTATACTGCCGTTTTTAAATCAGGAGAACGCTTCGAGCAGCCAAAGATGAAAGACACTTGCTAAGGATTTTTAACGACTGTTTATCATTGTCTGTTCCTGAGACCCCATCATAGCTGGATTCATGGACAAATTTTTGAGATTTAAAACCCGAAAATGAAGGAGGCAATTTGTTTTCTTTCGACGCTACCATCGATGGGTGAGTGGAGCCACAGTTGTTGTGATGTCGGAAACTGTCAGTATTAATATAATATTTGTTTTTTCTCAGGGTTGGAGTTTTCATTATTTTATTTGGGCTAATGCAAAATTCATCGTAGCTCTTCTTCGTCGGCTTCATCGTAGTCGTTAAGGAAATTTATACCTCTGTGGCCTGTGACACTGAGGATATGTTCTGAACTTACAATCTTTGCTTTCTTCACCTGACTGCATGTTGTTTTTCTTGCACAATGATTCGTAAACTTTTTTCTCACTTTCTTTAAGGCTAGTACCAGCTACGGATACTTTTCATTGTGTGAGTTGTGGTATTTTCACCCATTGGTTTAGTTTGGACCAGAAGTTTAAATTTTCAGTTTCGTTTGCTACTGAGGTAGAAAAAAAACAGACCATCACATGGATGTTTTAATAGAGGTCTTCGCTCCACAATCAAAGAGAGCAACAAATAACGTACATGACTTGAAATCCCTGTTGTTATCATTGAATAATCCTTGTTCATTTAAATGCCTGAAGAGTGTAGCTGTCATGGTTTGCGTGTGGTTGCAACCGTTTTTGTTCTTTATTTTTTTTACTTTAGCGTAGTCTGTTATGAGTAGCTTTTTTTTTAGTTTCTCTGGCTCATTTTCCTCGATTTTGTCGACAGTATT